TTCAGCATACGCTCTCTCAGCTTTCTAATCACTCGCCACGTATTGAACTGCGACGAGTGATCAGCTGGTCGGTGGGCGGAGATCGCCGGACCCGCCAGCTTTGAGGCATGATAGGTCGCCGAGGTCAAATTTTTCCATGCGAATTGCGCGTCAGTTCGCACCCTCAGGAGGTCCGTGGGTCCCTCAACTAGGTCAATTACTTCTTCTTCGACCTTCATTCTAATCGTGAATCCTCCTTTAAGTAAGGTGAATGTAAATACTATAGAAAAGCTAAGTGACTAAGAAAACGCAGTGAAATATATCACCAACTTTGAGATCCTTCTCGGTTCCTTGAAATTTGTCCACGAGTGTGTATGTTGAATACATATAACAAATGATCGCAGTTCTAGCCCTGCAGCAGTACACGGTTACATTCAAAATCAAAGGCTCCCTATCACATCTCACGGATGGGGATCCACTTCTAAATGCTTGCACTTCCTAGCTTCGGACGAGTGTATGGTGCATGTCAGAATAATGGGGTGTGTTTACCGTGGGATGCTTACATTTCAATTTTTACGGGAACCGATATTTTAAGAAAATCCAAGGTCATCAAATTATATTCAGGTGAGCGTTGTCGGAAGTGTGCTGAATGTCTCGGCTGTCGTGCTGATCTATCGCACGCCATCGTTCCACAATGCGTTCGGTTTCATTTGTGCCTCGCATTTGCTGGCCGATGTTGGTGTCCTCGTTATTTTCATGTTCTGGGCCGCTCCGGCGGCGTTATTGTGAGTTTAAAAAGAAGAGAAGAGAGACAGAAGGCTTATCTAAAACTCCGGCGCGAATTATGATACAAGTTTTTTTCAATTTTGTGTCAATACTCGAATATATCTGAAGCCGACTATAAAAGCCTGTGAAGGTGGAATAATAACGATTTCTCAGCACCTTAGAACTGAGCTGCACAGTAACTCGCGTTGGCTATGCTCCAATCTTACAAAAATAATGTGTCACTGAGGCCAAGATCAGCCTCCTGCTGAAGCGAAGGGGTAATGGTTTGGTTTTAGCGGTTTTCAAATGGGTGATGTCGAAATGAGACGATAAGAGAATTTCCCTTGGGACGTAGGAGAGTACTACATTCCCAATCCAGGGACCTTTTGGTGATAGGAGACTTGTGGCTCCTCCAGCTGTTGTCTTAATTTTCTGGATTCTTCTCGTTTTTGAGCGCGGTGTACACATCGCAGTAGTTGCAGTAGTTCCGTGCATACATGTTACCT